GAGAGAGAGAGAGAGAGAGAGAGAGAGAGAGAGAGAGAGAGAGAGAGAGAGAGAGAGAGAGAGAGAGTCTTTGGGACGGTCGAGCCGTTCATCGAAGACGACCGTGGCAAAGGAAGGATGATGAGGAGGGAGATGACAGGGGGGAAACACGGACACGAGGAAAGATGGCAATGAGAAACACACGAGGAGACGGAAAACCATGAGAAAGGGCTCAAGGATAAAGAAGAAGGGTGATGTGGACAAGCGAGGAGGGGAAGGAGAAGGGTGATGTGGACAAGCGAGGAGGAGGGGAAGGAGAAAAAGGGTGATGTGGACAAGCAAGAAAGAGGGGAGGAAAGATGGGTAGAACGACGAGCACGACGCAGAGAATAACGCATCGGCATGAGGGAAGGAGGGGGAGAGGGGGAGAGGGGGATCGGGATGGGGTCGACGAGACGCGTCGGGATAGAGCAGCGATGCGCACGTATCAGGATGCGGGAGGGAGGGGGAGAGGGGGAGAGGGATGAGAGAGGGACGAGGAGAGGGGGATCGGGATGACGGAGGGACGGGGAGAGGGAGATCGGAATGGGGTCGACAAGACACGTCGGGATGGGGTGGCGACGTCGGGATAGGAGGGAGGAGGAAGAGGAAACGACGGGATGTCGGGTTAGAGAGGGGAGGGAAGAGGGACATCGGGATGATGGAGGGAGGGGGAGAGGGGGATCGGGATGGAATCGACGGGACATGTCGGGATAGGCCGACGATGCGCACGTATCGGGATGAGGGAGGGAGGGAGAGAAGGGGATCGGGATGGGGTCGACGGGTCATATCGGGATAGAGGTAGGGTTGCACGTCGGGATGCATCGCACGTATCGGAATCAGGGAGGGAGGGGGAGAGGGAGATCGGGATGGGATTGATGGGACAGGTCGGGATAGAGGGAACGACGGGACGTCGGGATAGAGAGGGAGGAGAAGAGGGACATCGGGATGAGGAAGTCAACGGGACACGTCGGGATGGGGCGGCAAGGTCGGGATAGGAGGGAGGAGGAAGGGGAAACAACGGGACGTCGGGATAGAAAGGGAGGGGAAGAGGGACATCGGCATGAGGAAGAGAGGGGGAGAGGGGGAGAGGTGATGGGTAAGAAGGGCAT